AATCGACGTAATACAGCCTCAAATTAGAAATTTGATCGAAATTTGATTGCTGCCACTGCCAGACAAAAAACCGACGACAGCTGTGGTTAAACGCGATAAAACGAGCAGACTGGACAGAATCGATCGTCAAAAAGGCTTGCGTTTGCAGCGCACACTTCTTATCAGAAAAGGTTCAATAAAGTATTTTCTTTTGTTGTTATGGGCGCGTCTACAGATTTCTTGCCATATGTCTATGTTTCTTGCATCTCACGACTACGTCGTGTATGAAATAATGTCTGTGTGCATGTGTATAAGACAACAAACTGACAATTTATATGTAATCATTTGTAATTGTATAGCCAGGAAATTTCAGTTTTGACAATATGGGACCTTTAATGTCTTTTGACACCATCAGTGTTGAGGAATAACTAGTTACATGTAACAACTTTACATAATTTAATTACAACGTAAGGTTACACTTTATTTGGTAACACTTTATTTGTCTTTACACATGTTACATGTACTTACTCTTATAATAACAATATTAATTATGCATAATTGCATGCATAATTACACTGTAACAAGGACACCTTAAAATAAAGTGTAACCCTTTTTTTTTGTTTAAGGTGCCCTTGTTACAGTGTAGTTCAATCATGAAAACTCTCGGAAGATTTAACATGGTGATGGATATGACAATATTAATGTATTTGGTCTTGGCTGAATAGATCTGCTACGTTGCTGCTGCTGCTGAATTGCTGCTGCTGTTGGTTATTGCTGTAGTTGTAGATTATTGCTGCTGCTGCAAGCAAGTACAAGAACTTGCTACTGCCAATGCATATGGCGATACGGTGCCGTGAGTATTTAAGACATACTGCTGCTGCACAAATAGCATATAAAATAACCTGTAGCAGATCTATACAGGTGGAGCTGGGGAAGGTGGGGGGTTTCAGAGAACTCTGAAAGCGCACTGCAGGAATCTCTAGTGAATGCTAGCTAGCCATATAAATGCAAAGCAGTAAGCTCATTGGCTGCATATGCAGCATGAACCAATCAGCTTGTGCCAAGTCGTTTAACTCTCTGAATATCATCAGTTACATTAACAACCTGTCAGCCTGCGCCATCTAGAGTTTCATGACTGAACTATATATTTATACACTTAAGAACTGAGTAATAATAATTAATTAAATGTACTTACTATATGGTTAAGATTAGGATTAGGGTTTGTCTTAGGGTTACTTGCATGTAATCATGCATAATTTACTGTTATTATAATAGTAAGTGCATGTAACGTGTAACAAGAGCACCTAAAAATAAAGTGTTACCTAAACTAAATGTAACTGTAATCCATCACAGTTGCTGAGAAAAAAAAAAAGTCTAATTTACAGTTACTTATGAAAATGTTAATGATTACAAATTGGGTTACAGCTGAATATTTTCTGTAAAAAACTAGGATATGTTGAATAATATTAATTTGTTGCTTTGCCTGTTTTTGATTGACTGGTCTAAAATATGAGACACCAATGTTTCAGGAGTTTAGGACAGCATAGGACACATGCGATAACTTTTATTTCCCATTTGGGTTTATGTATATGCTTTATTTTTTTAAGATTACCCATTTTAGATGCCAGTGTTTCCTGTCATAGCTATGCAAATATTTGATTTTAAAACACTATCATAGCTATTAACACATAAATAAATAAATACAAAATAGAGAGAAGAGAAAACAGGGAAAATAATATTAACAAAAACTATAATAGTACATCAGGGATACTGAAATAACATTGCACAGCACATCATCTCGTTTTTGTTTTAGCACAAATATATGAATGTGCAAATAGCAGATTTAGAATGTAGATAGCAGCCTAACCCAGGCATATTCACAATGACAGCATTTAAAAGATACAAAGTGACCTGTGGTAGTGATTCAAAGCAACATGGACACAAAAACGATTGGCAGAGTTGAGCAGCTTTATGCAAATGCGCAGCGATGCGACTGCTATTAATGCAGGCGGTAAAGCTCAGTGTGATCTGCTGCCTGATACCAGTGTGTCCAGCAGTTGAGAATACTATAGCAGCTTGGTGACCTCCAGAAATGTTAATACGTCTATGCCAGCACACCTTTAACCAAAGTGCAAGCCAAGACATTTTGTTGGAAACTTTTTTGTTTCTGTTGCTCTTTACTGTGGGTCACATACACTTAGTCACACAAATCACAGCGCTATATTGAAAATATCTTTTGAATCTGAATCACACAGCATTTCAGCTTTCAGTGTGGACAGACAAATAATGTGATGCTAAAAACTTAATGCGTTGAGCCTGTATAGGACATGTTTTTGCTGTTATTCCATATGCAGTGAAATCAGGGCATGGCTGCATTTCATCTGGCTTTGTCATGCATTGCAGCGCTGCACAATAAACAGATAAACTTTCCTGCCTTTCTTCTGGACTCAATACAAGCACTACGGTCTGTAGTTAACTTGAGCATTCTTTTGTCTCCAGCGCACACTGATCCTGCTCACGAAGCTCCTTGGATGATGAATGAGAGCACTGTTATCACCCTTGATAGTCATTAGCTTAAGGCAGTTCCTTTGGCATCCAGATGGGCACATAATGGCGTCTTCCTCTCCGCCCACAGCTTACTGTGGGCTGCCCACAGACCCATCTCCCGCTCGCAGGTGCCACACACACACACACACACACACACACAAAGAGCCACTTATGGTAGGAGGGTGATGGTTGGCGCGAACAAGACACATTTGCATGGCATTTCCATCTCCTCTTAAAGTGGTCCTGCCCAAATGTTTCTCTTAAGAGCCGAATGAAATCTGAGATCTTTATGACTAGATTCAAATTGGCACAAAGTGTTAGCTAAATGAGAAAAAAAAAGACTTCTGTGGAACACAGAAGGAGATATTTAGCATAATGCCCATGCTACTCTATTTTATACAATAATATTAATGGGAACATATGCTTTTGAAGCATCAATGAATGAATGCATCACATTCTAAGACAGTGGTCACTAGGGCTGTCGCGATTCATCGATTTTATTTGACTATTCGATTTTTTTAAATCCTCGACTTCATTTTGCTCGCGTTGACTAACCGGCAAAATACCGGAAGTGGTGCATTTCAGTACGAGAATCCATAAAACACATTATTAGACTGTTTCCCAAGGCTGCATGATATATTAAACCCATTTCAAAATCATAATTAAGCATAATTGTGAATTCACAAACGCTACGATTTAATTAGCTAAATAATTATATGCGATGCAGTTCTAATACAGTATATGCGCTTTAATTATTTACATGCGTGGCAGTAAGCTCATTGGCTGCATATGCAGCATGAACCAATCAGCTTGTGCCAAGTCGTTTAACTCTCTGAATATCATCAGTTACATTAACAACCTGTCAGCCTGCGCCATCTAGAGTTTCATGACTGAACTATATATTTATACACTTAAGAACTGAGTAATAATAATTAATTAAATGTACTTACTATATGGTTAAGATTAGGCTTAGGGTTTGTCTTAGGGTTACTTGCATGTAATCATGCATAATTTACTGTTATTATAATAGTAAGTGCATGTAACGTGTAACAAGAGCACCTAAAAATAAAGTGTTACCTAAACTAAATGTAACTGTAATCCATCACAGTTGCTGAGAAAAAAAAAAAGTCTAATTTACAGTTACTTATGAAAATGTTAATGATTACAAATTGGGTTACAGCTGAATATTTTCTGTAAAAAACTAGGATATGTTGAATAATATTAATTTGTTGCTTTGCCTGTTTTTGATTGACTGCTCTAAAATATGAGACACCAATGTTTCAGGAGTTTAGGACACAAAATAGGACACACGCTTATTCGATAAATGTTTTATTTCTTATTTGGTTTTATGTATATGCTTGTTTTGTTTTTTTAAGATACATTGGGGGGGGGTGCTAAAGTCTGATTTTGTGGTGGCTGTGCTTTACAACTATATTAGTATAATCTTAATTCAAGTGATGAAGGGTTTTGAAAGTCTGACAGTAATCAGTGTTGAGCACATTTGAGAATATTCATTAGAAATGTAGAAAAGTATAATAGTCAAATGTAATCAGTTACATTACTTTAATAAAGTATTTGAAATAGTTACACTACTTATTACATTTTAAATAGGGTAATCTATAGCCTATTACATTTCCAAAGTAATTTCCCAACACTGGACACCTTTTAATAGATTTGTTAGAGAGAAAGAACAAAACTGTAATTATTCACACTAATAATATAAAGTGCAGCTTTCAAATCTATTGTGTATATTCAAATATAAGCGCAAATTACGATTTTTAAATATTGGTTGTTTAGTTTCAGAAAACCTAAAATATAGTGCCTAAGAAATATGAACAGCTTTATACACTACAGGTTTGGAATAATTGAGATTTTTTTTATATTTTTGAAAGAAGTCTCCTGTGCTCACCATTAAGGCTGCATTTATTTGATTATTTTTTTTGAAGGATTGTGTGACACTGAAAACAGGAGTAATGGCTGCTGAAAATTCAGCTCACAGGAATAAATTGTATTTTGAAATGTATTAAAATGCAAACAAAAGCACGCACATCAATCTCAAATGGGTGCTCGACTAAAAAACAAGTAGAAAAATTACATGTAAAGTCGGCAACACCAAAGCTCCAAAAGTATCAAAAATGTATCTTTACGACTTTACATTTAATTTTTCTATTTTTAAATGTATTAAAATATAAAACGCTTATTCTAAATTGTAATAGTATCCCATAGTATTGCTGTTTTTACTCTATTTTCAAAAAAATGTAACATTCTAATTATTCCAAACTTTTGACCAGCAATGTATTTTTATGGTGCTTTTTGATACTCGACAGTCTGTGGTCACCATTCAATTTCAATTTAAAAGAGCAGTGCCGAATATCTCCTGCTGTTCAAGTACTACATGTTTGTGAGTAAATGATAAGAGAATTGTGGGTGTGTTATTCCTTGAACTCCTCACTGCCATGTGATTTGAAGTGTACCTCTATCTGAGAAGCGTAGAATGGCTGGAGATGCTCATGAAGGCTCCACTGGCGGCATTAACGCTGAGGATAGCTGTAGACTTGGGCTGCTACATGTGGACAGGCTGGCAGAGAGCAGAGACTCGAGACATTGGCCCAGGAACATGAGAGTATCTGGCGCTCAGAGCCACAACTGACAGCGCTGCAGATTTCGGAGCTCCATCCACCTGTGAAAGGAGAAAGGGAGGAGGGACATTTACACGAGACACAAAGCATGTCTGTCTGGATTTTTCGCCTCTCGGGACAAGAAGGCCAATGCATTTCCAGGACAAAAACAAGAGCTAGACAGCAAATTTGCACCCCTTTTTTTCACATCACAAAACAAATGGAACAAAAAAGAAAATGGAATGCGGCAAGAGCGAGGGCATTAATAACGACCCAGAAGTGTCACGCTGTTTGAACACTCCTACCATCACTCTTGATAATAGCTGCCATACGCAATATATTTAGCTCCATTCTCTTTGGAAACAAATTCTTGTTATTATTTCAAGTGTTTCTTTTACAGTTGTCTGCCTCCTGCATTGCTGGTGGTTATAGCTGTCCCACTGGACAGTTGGCACAATTACAGTTTGTTCTTTTTTATTCTCTAAATTCATGCCACTGCACAAACAAATGCTGCTTAAACCAGTAAAGGGTTTTTCTGTCGATTGCACCATTTTAATTACTTATTTCAGGGTGAACATGCTGTAGGAGTTATGCAAACTGAGCTGGTATTTGTTGAGCTTGTGTTTGATTATCCCGACAAAAATATGAATCATATTTTAGGACCATATTTAGATTTTTTGCATTGTGACACTATTTTCATGACAATTCTCATTAAACATAATGGCAAAAAATTCTGATGACTCAAATGTTACAGCATTTTCCAATGACTAATTTATAATTTGTGATTATTTGTCATGGAAATAATGTCACAGTGCAAAACAATATATTACAGTACTACATTAATACAAACACATCAGAACCGATTTGGAGAAATGTACATGACTTGCGCACCAATTGATCCTCTGCAGTGAATGGGTGCCGTCAGAATGAAAGTCCAAACAGCTGATAAAAAAATCTCAATGATCCACAAGTAATCCACATGACTCCAGTCCATTAGCTAATGTCTTGTGAAGTAAATATCTGCCTGTTTATAAGAAACAAATCCATCATGATGTTAATTGATGGACTAGAGTTACTTTTAAATTACTGCAATGTTTTTATCAACTGTTTGGTCTCTCATTCTGATGGCACCCATTCACTGCAGAGGATCTATTAGTGAGCAAGTGATGTAATGCTAACTTTCTTCAAATCTATTTTGATAAAGAAACAAACTCATCTACATACTGGATGGCCTAAAGGTGAGGTCATTTTCAGAAAATGTTTTAATTCTGGGTGAACTATTCCTTTAACTTTCATTCCCCATCACAACCTCACAACTTCACAAGTTTCACATTAAGCTGTCAAATGCTTCCAGATGGTTTTTAAAATGAGGGGTTTTGTCAAAATACTGTTTGGTCTGAAGGCAATGATAAATTATGAAACAATATAAAACAAAAAACAAAAGGGCTATTGTGGCTGTTTGGTATTATGGCTTAAGGTTTTTTTTCTTATTATATGAAAAAAGATTTGCAGGCCCTCTCTCTCTCTCTCTCTCTCCTAATCTCTTGTTTTCCCACCCTGATGATCTCCCCACTCCACGAACCTAATTAGAACTTCTTAATTAGACATTTATGTCCCTTACTGGGAAGAAAGCCAAGCCAAAAAAATCCTCTTACTCGGATATCGTATGATTTTGTCCAGACACAATGGTGTGCACATTTTGTTCCTTGACTAACTATTTCTATTACTGTGTGTTTCTTCGACTATGGCCACTTTTGGCCCTGTGGACAAAAATAATCTTAAAACAGATTTTCACACTCTCACTAGCTTATTTACAATGTCTCCTAGACATACAGTCACAGGATAATTGTAATTTTTGTCATTTATTTCTGAACATACAATTGTAATTTCCACCATATGTCAAATTATGTACTGTGGAAATGACATTAAACTTTTTTTTTTTTTTTTGGAATACAAAATAGCCAATGACTAGTCCCTACTGTATGTTTAACTAAGTCTAATTTCATACTATGTCATGTATTTTAAGTGCACTTTATATTATAAAATGTTTGTCGTGAAGGAAATGATGTCACAACTTTATGGTGGCACATTGCTGCCACATACATATTTTTTTTTCCACTCAGTTATGTTGTGAAGAAAAAAACAAACAAAAAAAAAACAGTATGCTGTCAGTTAAACAATATACTTTCTTATAATAATATGTTATGTCTTTAAATTACATATTGTCTCAATTATGTTATTTTCTCGTAGTGGCATTATTATGAGAAAATGTATTGTTGTAACATGTTTTTTTTTTTTTTTACAACATAGCATTTCATTATTATGAAAAAACGTATTGTTTTGACAAGAAAAAAATATTTTTCTTTTAAATACACAATATACAAATATTGTACAATATATTATAAAATATAAAATAAACAATATACAAAATATATTGTATGTGTATATATGTGTGTGTGTGTGTGTAAAAATGAGATGTTATGACATTAAAACAATACATTGTCATGTAATAATGAGATTGCCAAGATTGTCATTAAAAATATGCTTTTACCATTATAATCAGATATTATATTGTTAAAGTAACATATTTTGTATGTAATGTGACAATGTAGGCTTATAAGCCTATATAGTTAATATATATATACATATATTAATATATTGTAATAATGGAAGTTTGGGTCTGGGACAAGGGTAAAACAATTAAATGTACTATATTACAATATAATTAATATATAAATATAAGGCAATATAAGAAAGTAGAAAAAAAAGTAAATGATTTCAACATGGTCAAAAAACAACAACAAAAAAAAACTCAAAGTTATAATGTGACCTTCATATAACAGGAAAAAATTGAAATCTTATTAACTTAGTTTTAATAAAAATGAACCCAGGAAATAAAATTACCTATATTTGATGAAACATTCTGTTTCACCCATTTGGGAAATACACAATCATGTTGCATAATTTAAAACGTGTGCCATCATTGATCTTATGCAAGCAAAATATGTATATGCCTTCTGCAGGAGGAATATGTGCTGACTCCAAAGCTGATAGAGCAGAAGCTCAGCCTAACAATGCAATATCCTCTCACCACACCGGCTTTAGATCATATGAAGCTCCCCCTCCCTCCATCGAGTATGACACAGGGCGCAAATTAGTGTCCATGTACATGGCCGTTCTCTCCTCAACGCATCGTCAGAATGAGCCCAGCTGCCTGGGGAGAACAGGCACCTCTTTGTCAAGACTCTGACTCACTTTTGGCCTGTCCTCAGTGACTCTGTGTTGTCCGCCCGTTCTGTTGAGCCCCAGCGTGAGGTTAAAAAGACAGAGAAGCAAAGAGCTGTGTCCAATGATATTCTTGTGTTGTGTCGTGGCTCCGTCTGATCGTTCCATTACCAACCGCAGCACTTAAGTATTAATGGCTGCCGCAGATTGTTGTTCTGAAGACAAAGGTCATTATTTCCAGTTAGTTCGTCTCTTTTGCTTTGAAGTGAAACTTTATTTTAAGTTTGCACTAGTTGCACATTGTGCAGTTTTTGCCATAATTTGGCCAATTGAGACAAATTTCAGAATTTCATCAGAGCAAAAGCGACAGTCTTAAACACTAAGTGTGAGGATCACACACCACCAGACTTTCAGGTCATTCAGAGCACAACAAAAGTCATGTAGAAACTCAAATTAAATCTGCAGAAGGTCTCTGACCTTCAGCTAGTGTTGACTCATCCAGATTCTAAACTGGGGCAAAAATCTTAGTCGTAAAGTGTATGCCAGCCTTAAATTAGGTACTAACCAGAAAATACTTTGAAAATGAATTATTAACCTGCTTTTAAAACAATATTTTGCATTGCAGAACAACTGCAAATTACAAAATGATTTATACATACAAGTATAAAATACATTTTATTTTGCTTGGAAAGACTTGACATCTTCTTCACCGAAGAACACAATTTCAAATCTACCATCTTTTCTAGTAGGCTAAGTGCTCAGTTCTGCAGCGATGTTGTTTTGAGCCAGTCATCTGAGCCGTAACTACCATTTGACTAATTACTATTGTAAGTCATTATTTACTACAAGTAATTAAGATTAGTATGCATAGTTAATCAAGATCAATTCCTTGTAGACCTGATTAGCTACTGTAGATGGTCAGATAGACAAACAGATAGACAGATGAAAAAGCTTACACAGGAAGACTGACTGATTGATTGATTGATTGATTGATTGATTGATTGACAGAACAACAGACAGACAGACAGACTAAGCATCACTTCATCACTTCACAAGCCATTATTTCTCTCACAAGAAAGTTTGTACCTCAACCTTCCATCTGTGGATATTTTTGCTGCTTGGAATTCAGGTAATTGAGTATATTTGATATTAGAGATTTTCAAATGCTATTTGCCAAGTTTGAGATAATTTGTAGATGGTCGAGGTGTGTTTTACAAGTAGCTGTAGTCGTGTAAAATGCCCTTAGAAGTTAACATTTAGGTTTTTCTTGTCTTTTTCGCTAATGTTAGCTTGCTGTATACAGTATATGTTTACATAACAAATGGGTTTTTATATGTGCACTCTTTCATCTTCGAAAGGTGGCAGTTCTGGAGAGATCTGCAAGAAGCTAAGATGAGATATAACACACTGGTTGAGTTAATCACAATTATCACAAAATGTGTTGACATAACACAGGTTGTGCTGTTTTTACCATCCATTTTAAAAGTGTAGACAGAGACAGATCTATTGACAGAATGCAGGTGGTAGTACAGGGAGACTCACTTTCAATATACATAATAAACATTTGTAAATGCAGAGTACAAGATGAGTCATCCAAATTTTTTTTGTCTGATTTCCATTAAGAGATTGTTCATTTTAAATGTGGTCAAGTGAATTTTGATCAACTTTCAGTGCTTATAAATGGCTTCAAAGCTAACAGACACAGACTAAATTCAAATTTAGATTCCACGGGGTCTCTAAGCTGCGTTCAGCCCACTCGACAACGCTAAATCTAACATGCTGGAACATGTGCTCACGCCCAACTGGCATAGTCTGGAAATCGCACGAACACTC